CACAGGAAGTTGAAGCCACTTGGAGGAGTAATATTATCCGGGAAAGGATGATAGGGGCATTAAAGGAGTGAGCATTCTTGTGAGATGTTGGTTGATATTTCTAGTTTTTATGATTTAAGAGTCAAATACATGAACATTAATTGGTCTGGGTTTGAGGATACACAATTGATAAACATTTTTTTTTACATCATTAAAACGGTAAAAGAGATGAAGATGTGGCTGTATAGGAGCAGAATTTTTGTATGCTATTAAAGTTAAATTGGCACAAATGACAATTAAAATGTAATAACTTTAGGATATTAAATATAACTCCCAAAACTACAGAAAATAGCTCTAGAATATATATAAATTAAGAAGTGATTTTAAAATGTTCACTATAAAAATGCACCTGAAAGAAGACAGTAATTCAGGAAATGGGCAAAAAAGCTGAAAGTCCTGTAGAAACAAACAGTATAATGGCAAAAATTATCCCCTACTTGTATAGTAAGTACTCTAAGCATAAATGTATTACATTTTCCAATTAAAGGTTCAGATTTTTAAAAAGTGATCCAAATATACGCTGTCTGTAATTATTTTAGATCCAAGCACACCAACAGATTGAAAGTGAAATGGTTAAAAAAATTCATAAAAATAGTAACCAAAAATAAGCAAGGGAAGCTATATGTATATCAGACAAAATAGACTTTAAATTAATAACTATGATAAAAAACAAAGGTGGGCATTATATATTGATAAAATGATGGATATAGGGCCAGAAAACATACAATTATAAACATTTATATAATTACAGACCATCCATATATATGAAACAAAAATTGATGGACTGGAAGAGAGAAATAGTTTTACAGTAACAGTTGGACACATTAATTGTCTATTTTCAATTATGGATAGAATAACTAGAAGGAAGTTAAGTGAGGAAACAGAGTAACACTATAAACAAACTAGATCTAATAGACATAGACTCTCCAGGAACACAATGCACATTTTTTTCCTCAGGTGTGCATGTGACGTTCTCTCATAAGGCATATGTTAGGTGGTAAAATAAGTCTCAACAGATTTTAAAAAGATTTCATGCAAAGAAGCTTCTCCAACTAAAATGGGATAAAGTTAAAACAATCAATAATGGAAGATTGGAAGACACATTTGTGGGAATTAAACAAGATACTCAAATTACCATTTGACGAAAGAGAAAGATACAAAAGAAAACTAGATAATACTTACAGATGAATGATGAAGTCTGACATACACAAATTTAAGAGGGAATCCTATAGCTATAAATGCTCACATGAAAGATGAAGGCTAGGCATGGTGGTACACTCCTGTATCTTCAGCTACTTGGGAGGTTGTGCCAGGAGAATTGCAAGTTTGAGGCCAGCCTGGGCAATTTAGCAAGATCTTACCTCAAAATAAAATAAAATACCTGGGTGTGGAGGTGCATCCCTCTAATCCCAGCACTCTGGGAGGCTGAAGGAAAAAGATGATAAATTCTAGCCCAGGCTGGGGGCATCAGTGACTTACTGAGACCCTTTCTCAAAATAAGAACAACTTAAAAAGGGCTGGGGGTATAGCTCAGTGGGAAGGATCTGGGTTCAATCCTTGGTACCAGAAAAAAAAAAAGCACTAGCTTAGTGGCAGAGAATTTGCCTAGCATGGGCAGGGTCCTGGCTTCAATCACTCATAAAAGAGAAAAGAAGGAGAAGGGAAGAAGAGGGAGAAGATGTCAAATCAATTACCTCTCTTGAGGGCCTAGAAAAAGAATAAATGGAACCTAAAGCTGGCAGAGGAAAGGTATCATAAAATTAGAGCAAGAATAAAACAAAGGACACAAAAACAACAGAGAAAAGCAATGAAACTAAAAGTTGGTTGTTTGAAAAATTCAATAGTATTGACAGTCTTTTATCTAGATGGACTAAACGATTACTAGAATTACCAAAATCCTAAATGAAAATGAGCATACTACTACTGATCCCATCACAGTAAAAAGGATTATAAAAGCATTATGAATAATTGTGTGCCAACAAATTGGAAAATCTGGAGGAAACAGACAAATTCCTAGAAACCAACCTAATCAGATCCAGTAGCACTATTCACAATAGTCAAAAGGAAACAACCCAGTATCAATGAACAGAAGAATGGACAAAACGTGTCCACTCATACAGTGAAATATTATTCAGTCTGAAAGAGGAAAACTATTTGGACACTTGCTACAACATGGATGAATCCTGAGGGCACTGTGCTCAGTGAAATAAGCCAGTCACAAAAGGATAAAAATTGCATGCTCCTATTTACATTAGGTTCTTAGAAGAGTCAAATTCACAGTGAGGCTGGGCGTGGTGGCGCACGCCTGTAATCCCAGCACTCGGGAGGCCGAGGCAGGAGGACACTGTGAGTTCAAGACCAACCTGGACTACATAGTGAGTTCCAGGCCAGTCTCGATTACGTCGTGAGACCCTGTCCAAAAAAAAAAAAAAAAAAAAAAAATTCACAGAGAAAGTAGGATGGTGGGTGTCAAAGGCTGGGGATGGGAGTGAAAGTCCACTTTTTAGTTTCAAATGATGGAAGTATTCTTGAAAGAGATGGTAGTCATGTGGCATAACATAAATATACTTGATGCCACTGAAAAGTACACTTAAAATGGTAATTTTTGTGTTATGCATATTTTACCAAAATTTAAAACCCATAAAAGGAATACATACACACATCTTCTCTGAAAACCCAAGGAAACAATGGATGTAACATTGTTATGCTTATTGCACCTATATAAATATTGAACCTAACAAACTAAAGATTAGAAAGAAAAAGTTGGAGGCGCCCTGTTCCCGGTGTTGGGTCTCTTCCTGGTACAGATTGTCTGGAAGATCGTTTGTAAGTCTTTGACTTACACATGGGGTGTGACAAGCACCTCTCCACCTGGGTATCTTACAGGCAGCTCAGACACAGGATTTCTCTACCTGACCATTTATTTTTTCCAGCATCCTTCAGATGGGCTTTGTCTTAATTGTTCTCCCCACCCCACCCCACCTAACTTCTCCCAATCTTCATTTGGTCCCCAAGAACTGACCATTCTGTTGTTTCTGCTCAACACACTGCCGAGACCTAGTGCACGAATCCTTTCCCAGCACTGCTCTGACACTCTAATACCAGCTGGAATACCAATTCAATCCAGTTCGGACAGGGTCCCTGGAGGTAGTGTCCCATCCCACGGATTAAGGGATTGACCCATAAGGCTTCCTCCACAGCAGGTACCAGGTGTTGCAAGCCACAGGCCTCCATGAATTCCAATGAACCTACTACAGTTGGGGATTCCCACCATCACCCCCTCCTCAGGTTCAGCAACTCCCTGACATGACCAGTAGAACTCAGGAATGCGCTTCCCAGGGGAGCACGTCAATCACACAGGACGCATCTCTGAACAGCCAGCAGAAGGGATGCAGGAGTTAGGCATGTGTGGGAAAGGACAGGCGTGGAGCTTTCCACTTTGGCCCCAAGCCCACCTCCCAGCATCTCCTTATGTTCTTCAACTCAGAACTCTGAACTCTCTTGTTAAGGGGTGTTTTTTGAAGATTTCATTAACCGAGCAGAGCTGATAAACTTGCTGGCCACTGGGGGACTCAATAAATCTCAGTCTCTAGCTGTAATTGGAAGTAAGAGGTGAGAATTCAAGGTCCTGCTCCCAATCATCGGTGGTTTTTGTTGACCAGCAAACTTAAGTGACCTGAGCTTACTCAGCCTGACAGCCAACTGTATGATCTTATGTGGCAACTGTGCCTCACCCCGAGGAAACATGTTCTTCCTTGCATTCTAGTGTCCTGTACCACGATACGGTTTTAAATGAGAATTGCATTTAACTTTTCCTTACTGGTGTTCAATGGTGAGAGGAAAATAGAGACCCAGTTTAAGAGGTCTGGAGGAAGCCTGTCTGAGTGATATCAAAGGACTAAGGACAAAGAACCTGCAAAAGGAGCAAGGCTGGGGGGCGAAGAACAGGGGCAGAGTAAGAGGCTCTAGGTAAAGGTAAAATGAAATCACATTCTGCTCAGGCTTGGGTTCACAGAAAATGAAATCACAGTGTAGTCAAGCTCGAGCTCATGGTGGGACACAATCACCCAAGGAGAGGGGACAACTATCCTGTCTCCACTGAACTGGCATTTGTGAGTACTGGGTCCAGGCGTCCCCTTGAGTCCCCCTCTCCTGAAGGCCAGGTTGGGGAGCTGTTGAGGACTTAAGGAACTATGTTCATGGCTCTGGCCATGCCTTTTTCCTGGTCACACATTGGGGTACGCTCTAGCTCTCACTGTTCTGAGTAGCTTCTCCAGTCAGGGGAGCAGCAACTGTGCTGGCTATGTGTGCCCCTATGAACTGAGTTAAGTAAACCTTCCATCCTTTAACTTTGGGTGCTGGGCATTTTGTCTCAGCAATGACAAAAGTAACTAAGATAGTAGCCCTCTTGGACAGGCTCCCTTCCCTGGGATGGCCTCTCCCCCACCCCAGTCTTCCCACCCACAGCCCTTTCCACCACTTGGACAGCCTCCGCGCAACATGTTCAGTCTCTGCCCCCGGACTCCCCATACAGAAAGCCTCCCTTCTTGGAGCGCTTTGCCCTCCCCAACACCGCATCTTTTAGAAACCTCCCTTCCAACCGTCTCCTCCTCAACTCAGACAACCCCCCACCCCCTACAGCCCCTTCTACCCCTGGGACAGGGCCTCCAGCCTCCACCCTTTCCCTGAAGCCTCCCCTTCCCCTCTGACAGCTTTCACCCTACCACAGTCTCCCCCACCCTAGCCTGTCTTCCCCAGCCTCCTAGACCCCTGGAGAGCCCTCCTCATCTTTGACAGGCAGCCCTCCATGGCCACCCCCACACTTTCCCTCACCATAGCCTCTCCAGACTCACATCCTCCTCCCTACATCTTGGATAGTCTCTCTCCAGTTTGGAATCTGTCCCCAGGAAGACCTACTTGTTTCCAGAAGTCCCCAAGAAAAGAACACCCACGCAACACATGTGTCCGTTTATTTCAAGGCATGGAGCATAGACATGTCCCCAAATTGGGGAGGAGGACAGACAAGGACATTGGTACAAAATGAGAAAAATGGAAGAATCAGTTACGTCGAGACGGCACCCACAAAGTAGTTTAAGGCTCCGGATGTAAATATGTGTAGATGCTCACACACACGTGCACACACAGGGTGCCATTGACACAGGAACTGGGCCCCAAGGCTCTCTGCTGCGCCCAGAGGCCTAAAATATTGCAATTATTATGTGTATTAAAAAAGTGTTAAACAAATGGGAAGACTGCAAAGTGGCAAGCTTGAGCCTCCTGGCTTCAGGGCGACCTCCTATGCCCTGTTCCTGGGCACACACTCATAGTCAAGGTAGGCTGGGCACCCCCCTGCACAAACAGGCTCCTTCCACTGTGGGGTTGAGGAGAGGCTTGGTACCTACCTGTACTTGGCTGCTGTCCAAACAGCACAGTGGCAGAATAAAAGCTCCACTGTCTTCCCCAGAGGAGCCCCAGCCTGCCCCAGGGTCCACTGGAGGTCCCTCCAAGGTGACCTCAGCATTGTGGGAAGGGTCCCAGGAAGGCAGGTCTGTGTATCACGGAGGCTAAGCCCTGGGGACTTCTGGGTGTTCCAGCTTGCTCCTCTAAACCGTACTCACTCACTGCCACTGGGTGTGACAGTCCAACATCTAGACGGGCCTCCCACCCCACCTCCATCGATGCCACGTGGGCTGGACTGAGAACGATGAGGCAAGAGTACCAGGGCATCTCAGGACAGAAGCTGCATTTGGCTTTAGCATTAAGGCCAGCACTGAGCAGAGGGCACTGCAGGCAAGGCTCTTGCCCTCCTGCAAAGGCCACTGCCTCCCCTAGAGGGCGCCACACTACAGGCTGCAGTGCACTGATGGCCACAGGGCCTGTCTGCTGTCCTTTGGGCATGGCCCCTCTGTCACAGTGGCCATGCCTGTTGAGCCTCTCTGCGTCCATATGGCTGGCTTAAAGTGCTGGGTGCCTGGAAGGGAGAGCTGGGCTGCTGGAGTTCTGTAGGCCGTGTCCCACTGCCTGAGGGCTCTTATTTGAGGACATAGTTGATGAGCAGCTGACAGGCCAGGAACACGCAGAGCAGGAACCAGGAACGGGGGCTGTGCAGGAGGCCTGGGGCTGGTGCCTGCCTGATGTGCACCACACAGCTCAGCATGGCCGAGAGGTGCCTGCAATGACAGAATGGATGCTATACTGGTCAGCATGGCTACCCTCCCAGTGCAGAGGCCTGCTCAGCCAGAGATGCCCGTCTCTAGAGGACAGTGGCCTGCACTTTGTGGACCAGTGGGGAGGAGCCATGCTTGCTTGGTTCAGGTGGCACACTACGGGATTAGCAGTGTGGCAGAAGACAAGGGAAAAGAAAGGAGTTCCTCTCTCTGGAGCTGAGATATCATCTTTTCCTGCCCTCGGACATCAGGACCCCAGGCTTTCTGGCCTTTGAAGAACCTACAACATTGGTCCTCTAGGCTCTCAGATCTTAGCCCTGGTCTGAGTTATACTATGACCTTTCCCAGTTGGTTCTATGGCTGTCTAATCTTCATCCTGCTTCCAGATCTATCCTGGGGCCACACCTGTGCCCAGGCCTACGCCCAGCCCCAAACTCTAAACTCTTTGAAATCTGCAGCTTAAAGTCTGATAAGAGGAACCACCCAGTTTGTTCAAACCCATTTCCTGTGTAGCTGGAGAACTGGGCCTCTTTCCTCACAGCTGAGCTCCCGCATGAAGTCAGCTACACCTTTGTAGGCCCCAGGCTTCCCTGGCCACTCTCTCACCACCTGTATCTCTGGTTGGAGCCTGGCTTACCTGTGTAGCTCCTGCTGGGCCTCCTGGATGGACAACACGGCCTCCTGCAGGGCCTGCAGCCGGTGCACCTCCCTCCTGCACCGAGGGCACGGGCTGTCACCTCCTGGATGTCCGTGGGGAAGGGAGGACACAGGAGAGGAGGAGAGAAGCAGGGTCAGTGCAGATTTCACACCAGCAGGGATCCTGGCCCTGACATGCCCAGAAGTGAGTCACAGACACAGAGAGGCAGGAGAGGTATGGAGGAAGTTTCTGGAAGGACTCCCAGTCCCAGCAGCCTCCAACAAACCCTGCAGACTGTGGTGAGACACAGGCCCAGTGATAACCAAGGAGTAAATGGACCACCAGGGGTGGGGGCAGGAAGACAGACACCCTTTACACTGTCCCTGCAGCTCAGCAAACTGTTGTCTGAGTCTGCTTCTACTCCCCTGCTGCAACCCTCCTCAGCCTGTTCTTCAGATGAGGAAACTGAGGCTTAGTGTGCTGAGGGCAAATCAGGATGCACTTACATCCCAAGAAGGCAGTCCTCTGGCCTTCCCATCTTGCTAAGGGGCTGGAGGCTGCAGCCAGGCCCCTCCTGACCTTGCCAGGTGAAGCCAAGACAGCTGCCAGATAAGCTTCAGGGCTGTCCCAGGAGGGCTTACCAGGAACAAAGTCACCATCCTCATCTGAGAGCTCTGGGCAGGACTCAGGTGTGGAGCCGCTGCTTTCTGTGACCTGGCTGTGGCCCGAGGGCTGGTCACTGGCCTTGCGGAGTCGCCGATCTGGGCCAGGCCTCTGCGGAGAGATGGAGTTGCCTCAGCCCAGAGCCCACACACACCAGCCTGGCCTCCTTGAGGATATGATGGTATGATTATGTCAGGACAGGGCTGGCCAGAGTTGGTGGAACACAGAGAGTGAATCCGGCGGTTTTGGAGCTGGACAGAGGAGGTCTGAACCTCCTCTCTGGTGTGGAAGCAGTTTTGGGCTCTCTCTTCTAACATACTGATGTTGACACCCTCTAAAGGGGTGAGGGCCAGTAAACTGCCTCTGCACACACTGAGCGCCTCTGCACACACTGGTGCTGGTCAGCACACTGCAGGTGCTGCTCACACCCGGGACACAGACTACTGGGCCTGGGTGCAGCAGGGTAGGGCATTCACGGAGGCCTCAAGCATCTGCAAAGCTATAATTCCTGCCAAGGCCTGTCCCTCCTCATTTTTTCCTGGAGATGCCTGCCTTCCCACATACCCTTTTCAGGGCCCAGATGTGTTCAAACGCTGGTTTCTCTTCCTTCCTTGGGAAGTCCCTCCTAGTCTGCCTTGGGCCCCAGTGTCCTCATCTGAAGAGTGGCATTCCGTGGCTACTAACCTGGTAGACGGTGATGGGTTAGGGGCCAGCAGACCCTACTCAGAGCCCTACACAGTGAGGCCTTGAGTGTTCCACAACCCAAGCATCCTGCAAATGCAGGCATCCTGGGGTCCCATGCTGAGCACAAGGGGCTGGGGTCAGCAGAGGCTACTGCAAGGCAGAGGATGGGAGGATGGCAGAGTGGGGCATGGAGGGAAGAGGGCTTGGTGGGGAACAAGGGTACAGGTGACAGCCACACCTGCAGTAAAGGAACCTGGCCAGGGCCCTGGAGGTACTGACCTCATGCCCAGAGCGCGGGCTGCCCAGGAAGGTGGTCTGATGGGCCATGGTCTCTCGCTGCAGAGTATGCAGAACTCCATCCTGCTCAAACTGGGCAATGTCCTTCAGGGGGTCCCAGGGCCTGTGGCTGGAGAGGGTCCACAGGGCATCCATCAGCAGATGGCCTTTGTGACTCTCGAAGAAAGGGGCTCTGTCCAGGCCCAACCCTCAGCTTCCCTATGGTGCGCAGAGCCTTCCAAGGTGTCCCATCCAGGGTGGGGGCTGGCAGGGCCCATCTCCCCTCCCACTCCCATCACTTGTGCCTCCAGGAGACAGGTTGGGGTGAGAAAAGGAAGTGGGAGCTCCTGTGGCCTTCTCAAGCCCGGGCCTGGGTCACAATACAAGGCTCAAGGGCTGCAGCCCACCATGCTCACTTCTCATATCGGTAGCACCACTCCTGGGTGAGCGGATCCAGATGGAACAGTTGCGGTTTCCAGGGGGTGAGGTTCTGCTGGCGCTCGCGGGAACGCTGCCGCTGTGCCTCCTCCAGTATGAACTTCTCCTGTGTGGCCTTGTGCTGGTCACCTTTGAGGATGGCCCTCGTGACATGCTGCCAGAGCCTGCAGGGCCGGGGACCTGCCCTGAGCCGAGGGCCTAATTGGCCATGTCCCCTCAGCAGTGTGGAACCAGGGCCCCTCTGAACCGGGCAGGGAGCTCACTAGTCTGCAGGGAGCTGTGTCTCTCAGGACACTCTTTTGTTGATCTGAGAATTTTTTCCACTTCCTGCCTTGAGAGACTTCCCTGTGGAGCTGATGGTCACCTGCTGACAATGCCGAAGACCCCCTCCCTCTAGCTGTTGTCAGTAGGATTTATGCTCAGCCTTGAGGCGTCAACCCTAAGGCCTGCCCTCCCTGCTGGGGCCATCCTGGAATGTGACCATGCCAATCTTCCCACCTAGTCGTGACACGTTGCGGTCAGTGGGGTCTCTTGACATGAGACGGGCCTCACCTTTCGGACTCTAGCTCTGTCTGTTCCTCAAACAGCACCGTGTGCCGCTTCAACCGCTGTGCACGGACCTCCTCACTCGGGGTCCAGAAGAGCTCAGAACTTCCGCTGCCCTCCTCCTTGATAAACACATCTCCATCCTGCCCCGGATGGCCGGCTGGTGTCAGAGCTGAGCCCATGATGACCACCCCAGGGCCCAACCAGGTGTGCCCCAGAAGATGTCGCTTTACCCAGTGTCCAGTGAGACGCGCCAGGACCTCCTCTCCAGACATGATCTTTCCTGAGATCTGATTGATGTGGGTGCTGCCCCCAAAGAAAGGCTGCAGGGGACACCGGGACAGATGGATGCCTTGAGCCAGGAGGAGGCCTTAAGCCAGAGGAGGTCACCCTCTCCTAAAGGTCTCAGCCTGAGCTCAAGCCTGCAGGGTCACCATCACGGGGACAAGACCTCAGTCTGTTCTGGCTCTGCTGTGTGACCTGAAGGCATCCCCTTCTTGTCTCTGGGCCCCAGCTGTCCCAGCTGTTTGCTTAGGTACACTTCCCTAGAGTGCAGAGGGGATCCCAAAAGCCTGGCTGCTTCCCTGGCCTGAACTCCAGGCCTGCCTCCCCCAGGCAGTGCCCCACTACCTTGAGCTTGAAGTCCAGCTCAACTTGGAGGTTGTTCTTCTCGCAGGCAATGGTCACCTTCCCCCCTAGCTCCAGGGTCATGGTGCCATACAGGAGCCCTGAAATGCAGTCATGTCGGGATTGAGATCTAGCAGTCCTGATCCCTGGGAGGCCCATGTCAGACCCCAGGAGGGCCAAAAGGAGCATGGAGTGGGCAGGTGGTCTGGGACGAGAACACATGTGGGGAGGACACAGGTGGTCTGGGAGGAAGAACACAAGTTTGGCCACAGAGCTCAGAGGCATGCCATTCCCTCAGTAACTTCCGCAGGAAGGGGTCTCTGTCTTTCCCAGTGCCTCTGTTCAGGTGCAGAAGCTGCCTGCACCCTCTGCTGGTTTCCCCAAAATATCACAAGCTATTTATAACAGTCGAAAGTCAGAAAGAAAGCCAACCTTCCTTAGGTGGCTAGCTGTGAACCCTGGCCCAGGACAGCAAATGGCACGAAAGGACCTGGACGGTCACTGTGCTGCTCTGAGGGGTTGCCAGGTCACACTGACAGCGAGGGAAGCCAGAGACAGCTCAGCACAAGTGCAGGCACCCACCTTCTGTCAGGGTGTGGGGTCCCAGAGAGACACAGACTTTTCCTATACCTTATTTTGTGGTTTAGACTTTGGAGCCAGGTTGATAATTTATTTACATAATGAAAAACATTAAAAACTAGTTCCTGGAAATCAAAAGTAAAATGAAACCCAAACTTTATTTTTGATTTGAAGAATCCTCAAAACCAGAACTGGGTATCATTTGGTGGCCTGGTCTTGGAGGGAACCTATGTCAGGTGACTCTGAAAATCCCAGTGGGGCATACTTAGGACAGACACGGTACAGTGACTGGCTTTTCTGAGACTGCTGCGTGTGTGACAGGGTTTAGCATGTAAAAGTAGTTGTGGTTATGGCTCGAGACAGGCTTTTGGTGTGGGGAAGAGAGATCAGATGCCAGGGCAAGGGGACAACCCCATCTTGAACTTGGATAGGAAGAGTAAGTGTGAACTCAGATGTACTGCATTCCTAAAACACAAAATGTTTCTAAGCTCAGCTCACTGGAAAGCCCTGGTGACAATGACCAAGCTACACCCCTAAAAAACAGATCTGGAGATGGATGCTGTGACGGCTGTAACTGTGATGAATGTGTTAATACCTCTGGATGGGTGAACTGCAGGGCGATCAAGAGAGCAAAGTGTATGTATTTTACAATAAAAAAAAATTCTTAAAAATATGAACTCTAGATTGTGGTTTCTGTTAATAGTTTGGACCTAAAATGTCCCCCCAGGGCCGGGGATTTAGCTCAGTGGTTCTGCCACCTGCCTCATAAGCGCAAGGTCCTGGGTTCGATCCCTGGTACCAAAACAAAAAATGTCCCCCCAAAAGGCCATGTATTCAGAAGTAGAGCTATCACAAGGTCAGTAGATCATGGGCACCAACTTCATAGCTGAATGAGGCGTTAGGAGGTGGGACCCAGTGGGAGGAGGTGGGTCAGTGTGGGGGATGCCTTTGGGGGGCTTTTCTCTTGCCCCGGATCCCCTGACCCTTTCTCTCTTTGTTTTCTGGACACCGTGAGTTAAGCAGTTTTCTTCTTGCCATGACCTCTTACCATGATATTCCTGCCTTAGAGCCAGCTGACCACGGACTGAAAAACCTCTGAAATTGTGGGCCAAAATAAACTATTTTCTTCTTTAAGTTGTATGTCAGGTATTTTGTCCCCAGCAATGGAAGGGTGATTAACATAGACTATATTTCCTACTGGAAGGAACTACTGTTCCCTGAAGATGTCTACAGTGAGAAATGTCCATGTGCTCATGGGGTCACAGGATTACTGCAGGAAGAAAGAAGGTCAGAGAGCTCTGGGAAGGGGTCCCCACCGCACAGGAGGTGAGCAGCAGGTGAGTGAGTGAAGCTTCATCCGTATTGACAGCTGCTCCCTATCACTTCAATTATTGACTGAGTTCCGCTTCCTGCCAGATGATTGGCAGCATTAGATTCCCCCCCTTCTCTCTCTCTCTCTCTCTCTCTCTCTCTCTCTTGTACAGGGGATTGAACTCAGGTCTTGTGCTTGCAAGGCAGGCAACAGAACCACTGAGCTAGCTAAATCCCTGGCCCAACATTAGATTCTCACAGGAGCTTGAACCCTACTGTGAACTGCACACATGAGGGACCTTGGTTTCATGCTCCTTATGAGAATCTTCAACCTGATGATCTGAGGTGGAGCTGAGGTGGTGATGCTAGTGCTGGAGAGTGACTTCAAATAGAGATTAACATTACAGAGAATTTTGAGTGCATAGAGATCATAATATCTTAATTGCTTGCAGCCTGAGTGTCAGGTGACAATTAAGCTACATCTGGTGGCAGGCTTTAGAGTAGCAAATGAGTTGATGGGAACATGTAATTGCATGAAAACAGCCCAGGGCTTTCATTGATTCTGGTTTTTTTTTGGCCCTTGTGCTTGCAAGGCAGGTAACAGGACCACTGAGCCAAATCCCCAGCCCCCCACTGATTCTGAATTATGGTGAGTTGTATAATTATTTCATTATATATTACAATATGGTACTAACAGAAATAAAGTACAGAATAAATGTAGCATGCTCGAATCATCCCCAAACCACTCCTAACCACTGGTCTGTGGAAACATTATCTGCCACAAAATCAGTTTCCAGTGCCAAAATGGGTGGGGACCACTGCTCTAGAGTGAAGACAGGACCCAAGGCCAATGCAGCATTCTCGGGCCCAAGCTGGGACAATCTGAATCACTATGAGGACAATAACTGGGATGTACTGAAACCTTCAGGTTGTTGGCTCATCATACAGTAGTACACAAGGAAACCTCTGGAGGATGCTGGAGGAGAGTCACTATTGCAAAAAGAGACAGAATCTGGCATTTGTTCTCAAAAATGAACTAAACTTCCTGGGTAACCATGTAGGAGACAAGGGCAGTTTCTCCTTAGAGAAGCTTCCTACAGATAAAAGAAGAGGAGAATGACCTGATTCTCCTGCAAGGCCCAACAGCTCAGCAGATAAGGCATAGATTGAACACGCCAATGCTGCAGGTGTAGCAGGGCCAGATACTGTGCCCCTGGAACGACACTGGGCTCTGTGAAGGTCTTTGTCACAAAAACTGGGCTGAATGTGAGAGAGTTTCTATAGATCAAGTAGATGAACAGATAAGACAAAGAAAAGGGAAATTCCGTGGAGGAAAAAATGAGCAAGGAGGATGGCAAGTAGAGAGAGGGAATAAAAAAGGAGGAGGAGGAAAGGAGGAAAAAGAGGGAAGAAGAGGAGCAGAAGAGGTGCAGGAGATGATAAGACAAAGGAGGCAGACAAGGAGTGAGACTCAGGAGGAGGAGAGGAAGAGGAGAAAAGAAAAGGATGAGGGAGAAGAGGAGAAAGAGGAGGGAAATGGAGGAGAAAGACACAGAAAGAAGAGGAAGAAGACAGGAGGAAGAAGAGGAGGAAAGAGGCACTGGAGAAGGTAAAGCAAGGAAGATGATGATGAGGAGGAAGACAGACCAGGACAAGGAGAAAGACGGACGAGTGTGATGACAGGAGGAGAAGGAGCACTTTCAGGCCCTGGACCGGAGGCTCTGTGGAAAGCACTGGGCAGATCCTGGCCAGAGCAGCAAGGAGAGTCTGTTCCCAGACATCCCCACGGCCCCCTCAGCAGGAGAGCTGCAGCAAGCCCCATCACAGGGAAGGGAGAACCAAAGAAATACGGCCACTGGCCTTCGTGCTGAGGTTAAAAACAAGACCAAAACTGAATCTGCGAGGTGAGTTTGGGATTCACAGGGACACTTCCCATGTGGCCCAGAAAAACTAGGAAAAGTTCCCGGCAAAATTATACCGTCCCATCTTGGTCCAGAAGGGGACATGGTTGGCTCGCAGGTCCCACTGATACCGTAGAGCTCTGTGAACCGCCTTCCTTCTACTGTGACTACAGGAGCATTTCGCATCTCCCATCCTAGACCTCGTACCTATCGCCAAGGTCTCACCCTACACAGTCATCCACTGAATAAGTATTTATGAGCATCTTTTAAGGCATCTATGTGGGAAGTGGAGATATAGCAGCAAATGCATTGGAAAATTAGAATTGCTAAATAGCGAAGGTAAAATTGTTTACACTGCTTAAGGAGTCATGAGAAGAGACAGTACACATGACCAAAGAACAAGGTTTAAGCATAAAGAACAGACAGGTTAGAAACAGAACCAAGTAGAACTTCCAGGGTAAAAAAACTCCACTGAAATTGAAAAATCCATGGATGAATTTAGCATCAGGAAGAGTTGAAGACAGAACTAAAGAATTATGGAGAATGCAAAGATAGAAACATTAGAAGGTACAAGGCACAGAGGAAGACTGTTTTGATCATGCCTTATGGAATTTTAGAAGGAAAAGTGAAGAAATTTGGAGTGAAGTAGTATTAAAAAAATAACGGGGGACAGGGATTTAGCTCAGTGGTGCCGCTGTGGGCCTCACAAGGGCAAGGTCCTGAGTCTGATCCCCAGTACAAAAAAAAAAAAAAATGGCTAAAAATTTCCAGGATTGATCAAAACCATGGAACCTTAGATTTTAGAGTTCAAAGAAAAAAGCCAACCAACCCAAACCTTTAAGGTGAAAAGATAAAAAAAAGAAATTCAGAAGTATGAAGAAGTTAAAAAGACATGGAGGAGGGCTGAGGATTTAGCTCAGTGGTTCTGCTGCCTGCCTTGATCTTCCGGGGGGTAGGGGAGGAGAGATGACCAGGTGGATTAATCCATGAGTATCTAATCATAAGAGAATTTTTGGGTGGTGACTCTATTCTGTGATGCCGTAATGGTGGGTCCATGACACTATACACTTATCAGAACTCTGAGAATGTGTAACACAAAGAATGACCCTAACAGAAACCATGGGCTTCGGCTAATAATTTATCAATATTGGTTTGTGAGTTGTAACAAATGTACCACATTAATGCTCGATGTTAATGATAGGAGAAACTCAGAGTGTGTGTGTGTGTGTGTGTGTGTGTGTGTGTAGGGAGTAATGGGAGCTCTGTACCTGCAGGGAGACTTCAGAGATCTTAAAAGTGGCTACAGAGCAAAACAGCTACGGTAACAGAGACTGACAGCCAACTGATCACCAACTACAATGTGAGCCAGAAGAAAATCAAAGACTATGTATAAAAGGTAGAAAAATGACACCACCTGGAATGACACACTCAGCTTGAACAAATCACGGATGAACAAAGGGGAAATAAAGATATCTTCAAATAGAAACAAAAGGCCTTAGCACCCACTGCATTCCCAAGGGGCACACTGGGCTCTGTCCCGGGGGTGGGAAGTGCTCACCTCTGCAGTGGGCATAGGGCATAGTGAGGGTGTAGTCTTCTGCTCGGTTCAGGAAGGTGAGTGTGGCCTTGCCATCCAGGAGTGCTGACAGTGAGTTCCCTACAGAGACAGAGACAGGGACCAGTGGGCACTGACGGCCCCTTGGCACTCAGGCCACCCCTGAAGTCAGAGGACCTGAGCTCCCCTCCAACAGGTGCAAGACCTCCTGGGACCTCCAGCTATGTCAGAGACCAGTGTGACCCCTCGCCGGAAGCTGGGCACACAGGACCACTCAGCTCGCACCTGCCCCCAGGTGCCAGCGGTAAACAAGGGTTGCCTGATGGGGAGATGGAGATGGACACTTTCTGTATACCAGGCTGCCAGGTCCAGGGCGGCACTGAACCACAGACCTTTCTGCAATGACAGACTGTTCCGCCAGCCAGGTATGGCTACTGACAGCATGTGATGTGGCCCATGGAACTCTTTTATTTCCTATCTATCTATCCATCATCTATCTCTCTACCTACTCATTCAGTGCTGGGGATGGAATCCAGGTCTCCAGGCCTCATGCATGCTAGGTACGTGCTCTACCACTGAGCCGAAGCCTGTTTTAATCAGTTTAAAGGACCACACTTTGCCAGCGACTCCGGAGCTACACAGCTTAGCTCTGTTCTCTTGGTTTCCTGCACAAAGTGCTTACTCTCTGCTGAGAGACTTGCCTGGTCCAGGGTCTAAGCAATTTTACCACTGGCATGGCTCCTGGCACAAGGGGACATGCACTCTGCCACGCTTCAGGTTCTGGGGCCATGTCTCCCTCCCACTTGCCCAAGGGCCAACAAGGCCCAGCCGAGCCTCCTCACCGTAGAACCGGGACTTGGCCGTGACACTCCCACTCATGCAGAAGCCGTCTTTCCGGTTGCTGACATGGAAGGCAGACACGGGTGGGTGGTGGGACACCTGTGGCCAGAGAGGAGGCTCTGGAGATGTCCAGAAAGGACAATCCCAGGGAGCAAAAGCCCATCTTCACATCCCTCCCTGACCCAGGAGCAGGCATTCAGGGCATCCTCAGGGAATTCTAGGGGGGCAGGACCTGAATCACAGGCCTGGAAAGACTTGAATCCCTGATCTACTCTGGAGTGATCCTTGGGAAGCAGGATACACTGCCCACTTCCTCAGAAGACACAGCTATCATCACCATGATGCTGTGCTTGCACCTTCTGGAAGAATCCATATGCACTTCCCATTGGTAGATGTGGGGCGAAGGCCAGACCTGCCCTGCGAACAGCTAGGCCTGCCCCCGCCCCCGTGCGCCCACCTAGGTGGGGCCTTGCCTGCTCTGCTATGTAGAAGGTGTGGCTGTTGGTCTGGGGGTGGAGCCAGCAGCAGCGGAAGGTCTCCCCCAGGATGGGGTTGTAGGGCTTCTTGATTCCCTGCAGGGAAAGCACAGAAATTCACTGGAGGAACCGAGAGGAAGGTGTCTCTGAGCTGGGCCAGGCCATGGGCCTGTGCAGGGCAGGATGGACAGAGGGACAATGTGGCAGGCTGCATCCATCTCTAGGAGGGAGCCTGGTTTGCTGCCCACATCTGGGAAGAGCACCCTGCTTCTGCTCAAGGGAGTTTACCTTGCCCATGGCTTACATTCTGGTGGGGACAGTCTTAGGATACCCTGTCCACCTTTCAGCTCTCCCTGGACTTTTGATATAGCCTATGAGTGGCCTGTTTAACCTGAGCTCAGGACACACTAGACAGTGAGGAGACCTGACCTTACCCAGCCTGTTCTGTGAGTCTGGGGTGGTCCCTTACCCACTCTGGACCGCAGTTTCACCATCTGTTTTGTTTTTCTGTTGTTCTGGGGATCGAACTCAGGACCTTGTGCTTGTGAGGTAGGCGGGGTGCCACTGAGCTAAATCCCTGGCCCACTTTCCCTATTTGTGAGTGAAGAAGTGGAACTAAAATGTCCATTTTCTTTTCTTTCTTTCTTTCTTTTTTTTTTTTTGTACCGGGGATTGAACTTGGGTCTTTGCACTTGCAAGGCAGGCCACCGAACCACTGAGCTAAATCCCCAGCCCTAGAATGTCCATTTTCAAACTTGTGTTCCACGGAACCCCAGGACTCCTCCCCTTCACTACATGCAGGGCAGTCAGCTGAGTCCCGAGTCTGAGATTCTTAGAAAGGCAGCGTCCATAACTAGAAATTATGAAAACCTAGATCTAAAGCTACCTTGAGGCTGAGGCCAAAAGCTGTTTCCTGGCCCCACTGTGTGTGGTGCAGTCTAACAAAGCGTGAAGCTGTTTCCTCAGCCTAAGGAGGGGAAGGGGTCCAGCTTGGGCCTTTCAGGGAATAGGGACAACCTTTGGAGGCCTAGTTTGAGCAGTCCAGAAGGTCCCTCCATGGGAGGTCAGAGGGACCCCATCTCTGAGGACCTGGAGCCACAGTGGGGATGACCAGGATCCTTCAATGCTATGGGGGTGGGAAGCGGCACAGGGACCAGGTGGGCCTGGAACAAGGGCTGAGGACAGACCCCTGGCTGCAGTGCCCTCCCCATGGCTGCCTCTCACCTTGGGCTTCTTGTAGAAGCCAGACAGGTACCACCGCAGCACGAGCTTGATGCGGCCATAGGCGCTGTCCTCCATTGTAGCCCTGTGTGGAGTGGGGGGCACTGAGTCCACCCAGGGGTCTCGGTACCCTCCCCTTCCCCCAACGCTCTATCATTCCAGTCTCTGTCCATGAAGCTGAAAGAGGCCACCCTGACCCTACGGCTCTGGAACCCTCTGCTGATGCTGCCACGTAGCCCCAAAGCAGGGGAATCCCCCAGAAAGTGCCAGAGCCACTCTCATGTGGGGACAGAGAGGAAGCCACAGGCTCGGGGTCACCAGGGTACCACTGACACCTCCAGGAAGCTGCTGTGCTCCCTCTGCTTGGCTCCTAAATATGGGGACCCTACAGCCCTCCCGTGCTGGGCACTGGTGTCCTCCGCTGAGTGTGGGGCTTCTCTTCCCTCCCTGGCTGGCCTCGCACCTGGACAGCAGGTCAGCGTGGCAGTAGTAGTCCGAGAGTTTGCTGAGGAAGGAGCGCGGCTCTAGCACGAAGGTGGGCAGCACCACACGGGACAGGTCCATGCCGGGCCGCAGCTGCCGCAGCAGGGCCCACATCAGGTTCTTGTTTTCCTCCGACACCGTCTCGACCTGGGACGCCGCCTCCCCCAGCTGCAGCAGAAGACATGGTCAGGTCCTGGGGAGCCGAAAGAGTGGCTCCACTTTGGGCTGCCTGAGGAGCCAGACTGGGGCAGGAGAGAGGAGCTGGACCCAACAGGGGGAGATGGGAGGTGCGGTGACACCTGTCTCCCCACTGGGTGTGGACCCTGACCTGGCCCCTACGTCTCGAGAGCCTGATTGGCTGGATCTGATCCTCTCCCTCCTCAGGGGACCCATCTTTCCAGAAGGGGCCACTGGCCCAGCCAAGGTCACTCACACCACTTCCAGCTGCCAGACATGGGGTCTCTTCTTGCTCTGACTGAATCCCCTCAATTCAGACAGGCTTGGGCCTGATGGTAGCTGGAACTCCACTGTGGACTTTAGGGACCATCCCACAGGGAGCCAGAAGCCCTTCACACTGGCCTCTGGGTCCAGGCAACAGGGAGGCCTTGGCTCCTCTAACCTCACAGCTGCCCAGAGACAGGTGCTACAAGCCTGCTCCTCCACTGGAAGAAAATATTAACTTTTCTTTTGTGTTATTTTTAACCACTTCATTGAGAGATAGTTGTCATACACAAGGCTGTAAGCATTTAATGTAAACCTGGAGGAATGTGGAGATACACACCCACAAAGCCTGCACCACAATCCACCATGGCTGCCCCCCACCTCGGAGGACCTGGGCTTACATCAGAGTCTCTTCCTTATCTGTGTCATGGGGTGAGAAGTGGGAGCTGCCCTGAACTCCCTTCCTTTTCTTTCACACCACATCTAACCCTCTTCACAGCTGCCAAACACATATCATGGTTATTGAGCCTTGGGCTTTTGCTTTTGTCCCTGTATTGGGGCAGGAGGCAGGGCCTGTGTGTGTCCTCCATCAACCTGCAGGTGAGCAGAAAGATCTCTAAAAGGTCAAATAGCTGTCTGGAGACAGGCAGGAGGGCAGGTTCTGTGCTGTGCTCACAGGACAGGGCCATGCAATGAGCTTCCTGGCCAAGGCCAAGAGCCATCTCCCTGAGCACTGGCAGTTTTTCTGTTGTCGCTGTTGGGAGGCCTCTGTGGCTTCCAGGCCTGTGGACATAACTAGACTTAGCTAGAACCCCAAATCCTCCATCCCTTAGTGCGGTTGGGCTGGAGGAGCTGAGGGTATGCCCAGGCTCTTGGTGACAGGCTGAGCTCAGGGTCCTCACCTCTAGATGTAGGCCTCACAGAAACCCAGAGCACAGGACTGCTGCCCTCCTCCTTTACAGAGTGGACAAGGCCACACAGCCGGTGTGAGGAGGGAGGAATCTTAATTCAGGGCTGTCTACATCCTCAGCAAACCCAAGGGAGACAGCAGAATCGGGGGGCCCTGCTGTTCTCGAACCACAATGTGTGTCCGACCCACTCCAGCCTCAGGACCTGGCCTATTACCTCAGCAAAACTGCCCCATCCCTACACACCAGGGGTGTTGGGTGTAGCAAAAGGAATGGTGTTCGCCACCTACATGGCTCAGGTAAGCCTGGGAAACCCCTCCGCACACCTCGCTTGTTCTCCACCCGACCCTCTGCTGCGGCTCTTACCTCCACGAGCTCCTCCTGGACCTGCTCCACATAGGAGGTCCCTCTCCGTGGCCCCCCAGGGCCCTCAGACTGGTCACTCCCGCTCTCATTGGTCTTTCGGCTGTGGTCCTGGGTCTCTGCATCAGAGTCTTCGGCATTCTCTCGCTCCGACTTGTCCGAGAACCCGTCATTCTCCAGGGAAGACCCGTTTAGCCTGGAAGGTGGACACGTCCAGAGCACCAGGTCACAGGTGAGACCCACGCACGCATGCCCACTGCGGCACAGGGCATCCCTCACTGCAGGTGCTTTACACACGGTCCTGCATTGAATTCCTCCGCTACCGAAGTGGACACCATCAGCCCCACTGCATAAATGCAGAAGCTAAGGTGCCAGGACTGGGGTCGCTCCCTCCCCACCTCCCACCTGCAGGACACCCGGCCTGGCTCACGGGAACAGGTCCTGGTCCGCATGGACGGCCACTGACGTGGGCAGCCCGTAGACTGAGGAGGGCGATGCATCGGGTGAGGACCCCGGCTCTCCGTCGCGGCCCTGCTTGCATGAGCTCAGCCGCAGCAGGCTGGAGCAGCGCAGAGCCAGCTCCAGGGCGTCCAGCCAGCAGCGGCCTGGGAGGAACAGAAGGGGAGCGAGTTACAGGGTGAGCCTGGAAAGTCTCTCCTGCCTGCTTCTCCATCCCTCTTAGCCATGCCCTCCTGACGGGATGGGGTTCTTACTTCCCCGAGCCTTTGCATGGTGACGCTCTTGGGAACTGGGAGTTTCTTTCCCTACTTACACCAGGGGACTGGCTCTTGGTGGAACATTCCTGGGGGTCTGGCCCTGGGGGCCACTCTGGGAAACTGAGGGAGGGGCTACTGGGATGGATGGTGGCTCCTGGTTTGCTGGAGCTTCCCTCTTACTGGGGGACAAGTAAGGTCCTGCTGTGGTTCATTGCAGCCTGGGCTGGACATGGTCAGGGGCTCAGAGGTTTATGGGTGGGCGGTGTACACAGCACGAGAGTTGGGCCCAGGTCCCTGAACACGTTTTGTGGTTGACCCAAAGGATTAGATACTGCTGTACACCTTTTCAACTTCTTTCTCCTCCAAGAAGCCCACCTTGGTGCCTATAGGGGCTGTCGACACCGAATCTTGGCCCCTGACAATCAGAGCTTTGTCTGATGGTTTGCTGCTCACCTTCCCTTTGCCCTCCAAGATTGCAGGTGCCATGAACACAAGGGCTTCCCTGTCCACTCCAGGGATCAGGTGGTGACAGGTCCAAAATGGGTTTGTAATATTAATGGGACCAATGACATTAAGGAACTCAGGTTGGCCAGAGAAGGGTGTGTGTATGGCATTTGACCACTAGGGGGCAACATGGTACAAGTAGATAGAAGATGAGCAGGCTCCTAGTCTGGAAGGACCAAAGCCAGTCAGAGCAGAGCCAAGTAGCCTTAGGTGATGAGGGGCCACTGCCCTGGTTAGAGTGACCACTTTGAAAATGAATCCTGGTAGTTATAATGATCATCACTGCTGCAGCTGCGAGAGCCACTATTCAGTGCTCACAAGCGAGTTGCAAGTTGTCGGGGGTGGGGTGGGGTGGGAAATTCAGTATACCTGGAATCTAGCACTCTCTCCCAGGGGAACTACTGCAGCGTCAGTTTCCTCATCTGTCAGATACAAATGATGACAGCAGAACCTACTGTGATCGAGTTCAGTCACTGTCATCTTGTTGCCTTTCTAGGGCTCCTGGATTCTCCTAACATTGGGGTGACAGATACTGTTAGTTACAACTACCCATGAAGAGATGGAGGCTCAGACAGGCGCACAGGTGTGCAAGAGGCCTGCCTGGCCCACACCTGGGTTTGCCCAAGGCTTCCGGTTGTCTTGCTGGTGATATCAGAGAGCCTGAAACTCAGCTTCCTGCACTTCTGGGAGTCATGGGGGAAAAACTGCGCAGGATCGGGGAGGACTCACCGTCTGACTCAGAGGCAGCCCTGAAGATCAGGTAGCTGCTGGGGAGGGGCTGTGTGATGGAGCCCACACTCTCACCTTTGGGACCCTGCAGAGGAAGACACCTGCATGTTAGGCACCTGGCCCGGCAGATCTGGTAGGCAGCAAGAGAGGGGCAGGCAGGAACTCTGTCCCTTTCTTAGCTGCTGCCTCTACACTCAGCTCTCCAGCTCTGAGCTCTCTGGTTTGGGGTGCCAAAATCTACAGATGCAAATCCAGGATGCCCAGGTGAATTTGAATCTCAGAGAAATAATGAAGAACATTTTAGGATATGTATAACCCATGCACTACAGTATCTGGACTATACTTAAAAGACCATTCCAGACTTAACAATGTTTGACATAATATATTGATTTTATGATGGTGTGGAAATATTCTCATATGACCACTCCAATTTTCACTTTTAGTGCAGTATTCAATAATATCATGAGATAGTCAACACTTCATCATCATCGGCTTTATGTCAGGCAATTGTGAGCTAATGCAAGCATTCGGAGAATGTTGAAGGCAGCAGACTCAGAATGCGCAGTAGGGGAGATATGTCCAAGGATTTTTTTTTGGTACTGGGGATCGAACCCAGGACCTTGCTCTTGTGAGGCAGGTGCAGTGCCACTGAGCTAAATCCCGAGCCTTAAAAGCATTTTTGATGCAATGAGTTTATCTGGATGTGACCTCATCATAAATCAAAACTCTTTGCTAAAAAACTCCAGCATTTCTCTGAAATCAAAACACAATGGCACACTCTGGGTTTTCCCTGAGACACTTGCCCCAAATGATCCCTGTTATGAGGGCTTGAGGTCTGAGTCAGGAGCAGTGCTGTCTTCCCCCTGGATAGTGGTTAGATGAGGGGTCCATGGTGACTTTATCCCCAAAGCCCAACAAGGACTGTGGGACCCACAGTGGGTGGATGAAAATGTCTGATCCTCAGCCCTGCATGGTGCTCAGACAAGCAGACTTTCTGGACCCCCCTCCACACACACAGCTGGTGCTGATGGCCCACTTGAGAGCCTGCCGGGCCCCAGCGCAGCTCCAGGAGGAGCCTCCTGGCTCTAAGGCCCCTCCTCCCCCAGCCCCTCCTTCATACCTTCACAGCCCAGACCGACTGGTCAAGCGGGTGGAAAAGCTTGAAGCAGAAGCCGTCCTTCTTGGAGGGGCGCTCGATGAGCTCGCAGCAGTGCAGCAGCACGGTGCCCACCCACTGACCCACCTTGGGCGTCTTGTAGATGAGCAGCACCCCTGGCTTCAGCACGCACCACAGCTTGGTCCAGCTCTTCAGGGTCCCCCGGATCTGGGGTAAGGGGTGTGTGGTCAACACCACCCACCAAGGCCACGCTTGGGCCATCCAGATGGTTTGTGGGGGCACTAAAAGGCCCTTCTCCTCCCCTAGGGTCCTCAGTGTGCCCAGCAGGGCTGGCACTGCCTGAGCATGTGGAAAAGCCAAGGAAACTCAGAGCAAAGCTCAGGGCTCTCTCTGGGCCACAGCAAGCTTCTCTATCTGTTTTTCCTTCTTGTTTGTCCTTTTGTATTGGGAATCGAACTCAGGCCCTTGCACTCGCCAGGCAGGCACAGCACCACTGAGCTACATCCCTGGCCCTCTTTCTCAGTTTTTAAAAGGAGCATTTAAAAGAAGGCAGATCTGAAAAAATACAGAGCAGCCAGGGACAGATTCATTGGCAGGGTTGTTCAGAATCAAGGGCTTCACAGAGTCCTGGGAAGAACTGACAACCAGGGATGACAGTTGGAATCATCAGATTTGCAAATGTGAAACCAGTTGTCACTTATTTCCTCTTTCTAACACCATATTCGTTTGTACGGCATTTTCTATCCATTTCTTTGTGGGTGGAGGGGAAGGCACTGTATAGGCCAAGGCTTACTGTAATACTTGTCTTGCCTTTCCAGCAGGCCTGGAGGGACAGTTTAAACCCCACTTTGTGATGGGGAACACAGGCTTGGGGGATGATGCCTCAGGGGGATCTGAACACTGTCTCCAGACCTGGGACCTGGGCCTTCCCCTGGAAGTCAGAGTCTTGACCTCCTCCTTGGGACTCTGATGCCCTCTGCCACACCTCTGCCTTGTTTGGAAATTTGGGTCACTGGCAGATGTAATCAAGGTAAGAAAGCTGGAGCCACGGTGGAGTACGGATATGCCCCAGTGACCAGAGTCCTCACAGGAAAGAGGAAAGGAGACCAAGACACACAGAGATACAAGGAACGACTGTGTGGCCACAGAGGCAGGGACTGCCTGGGGGCCAAGAGCCGGAAGAGGCAGGACAGATGCAGCCCTGGAGACACCTTGATCTTGGACTTTGGCCTGCAGAGTTGTGAGGAGATGAGCATCTGTTCCTTTAAGATGCCTGGTCTGTGGTCATTTGTTATAAGGTGCTTATACAGTGACAAACACGCTGGCTATCTCCTAAGTGCTTAGTGTCCCCTCTTACCCCCCAGTCCCTTAGGGGCCCCTGCTGTGCAGCGCTCACCTACCTTGAGGCTGTCAGCCATGATGACTACGCTAGGGTCGGTCAGTGCGCTGAACAGTTGCTTTGTAGCTCGCTTCTTCTCCTGCCTGTAGTTCTCCTTCTGCGCCTGGGACCAGGGCACAAGCAGGCGGGTGATGGAGAGGCTCCTAGCCGCCCAGCCCCTCCCACCATGCAGCCGAGATGCGGACTGGATCAGAAGAAGACAAGGAATGGGGGGGCATGGGAAATGCGAGCACGGTATGCATCCTCCCTTTGATGTTTTGGAGCCTCCCCCAGCCTTTGAACCCCCTCTTTGAGGAATCATATGGCATTCTGGAACTCCCTCCCTAGACCCAGGCCCACCTTGAGAGTTTCCTTCTTGGAGACCCTGGCAGTCGGGGACACACACTCCTTGTCAGACCCATTGCACAGCCGGTACTCTGCCTGCAAGAGAGAGATGTAGACATGTAGAGGGCCAGGGACTCAGCTCAGTGGTGCTGCCACCTGCCTCACAAGCTCAAGGTCCTGGGTTTGATGTGGTGAGTTAGGGGATACTGAAGTACAGCCTGGGGCTGTGAAGGCATTGGAGGTAGGCGGGGGCTGGCTCGAAGCCCAGGATATGAAATGCAGAGGTAGAGAAAGTCACTCCTTGCCCCTGGCCCATGGCACTGATGGTCCAGTCCGCCAGCACTTCTGTGGGTTCCATGGGGGCACGGAGGAACATGGATAGCCGAGGTGACTCCCTTTCCTGTATGCCTGCACCGGGTACCTAGCAAAGATACAAGGGGCACATGCCCAACCCTGGGCTCACGCAGGGACAAGGCAAAGCAGTCAGGGGCTAGAGAAAACACACGGGATTCTCAGGAGTCAGGCCTGAAATCCAACAGGTCTGACTCAGCCCTTGAGGATGGCTTGTGGCTGGAGCGGGGTGCATCAGCCAAAATTCTCTTGTGCTAAGGGCATCACAGGGTGGGTTTGCAGAGGGGAACTTGGTGGCCTCTGTGAGAAGTCAGTGATAGGCTCCTAGGCTGCACCTGCTCATGTCCTGAGTCCTCCCCTGGTACCCAGAATCTCTACTACTTGGCCACTGCCTTTGGCCTGACCTCTGGGCAAGGATGGCAGGTGCAGGGAAGGTGTGCAGTGGGGACCTCTCAACTTGGTTCTCTGGGACTCAATGCATGGTGGGTCAATGCCCAGGTCCTGCCTGAGGCTGAAGGATGTGGGGATCCCAGCCCAGGCCCACTGCTGACTTCAAGGGCCAGGAGCAGCTGTGCAAGGATCTTAGAGCCAGAGAGGCCACGGTTCTGAAGATGGAAAAACTGAGGGAGGAATAGATGATCACCAGGACACAAAACCATGTCGAGAGGCTGTAGGCCTGGGTGTGGCAAATTATGGCCCAGATCCCTCTTGTTATCTATTGCCGTATGCTTGTAGACCAAGAATAATAGTTCCCACAATTTTAAGTATTTGAGAGGAAATTAAATAATACTTTGTGAGATGTGAAAATTATATCAATTTCAAATTTCAGTGTCCATAAATAGTTTTCTTGGCAAGAAGCAGTCCTTCATCTCTTGTGGTGTTGCCTGTGGCTGTCTTCGCACTGAGACAACAGAGCTGAGTTTCTGTAGCAGGGACCAGATTCAGGGAATCTAAGGTTCTGACTGTCTGGCTCTCTCTAGAAGGAGCCTGCCTGCCAGCTCCGCTCTCCTGAACACTGCCCTCGCCTTCCATGGTGCAGGGAGAACACCGCAAGACTTCCAGCAGACACCTAGAACTGTGGCTGGTAGCCAAACTAATTAACATATGCCGGACGGCCCCCAAATACAGCGAATGCTTAAATTAAAGCAAATTTATTACAGCAAGAGACACATTGCCATGAATCCCCCTCAAAGTCTTCCCCCTCACTCTGACTACGTCTGTCCCGTTGTTGCCACTTGCTGGAGCAGTTCTGGACGACTCCTTTCATGAGTGTCATTAGGTTGAGCTACGGAGGCTATCTTGATGTCCTCATTTAAAAATGTTTACCTTTTATGATCATTTCAACTTTAGGGAAGAGCCAGAAGTCACACGGTAGCAAGACCCGGGGAATAAGGTGGATGTGGCCATCCACTATGTTTATACGAGCCTGTCTTTCCCTTCGACGGCACTCAGCAACAGCCGTCACTATTTTCTTGTTGATCACATCTTGTGAAGATACTCATGAATGGGGACGTGCAGAACTGCTTGACAAAGGGTCAAGAACGATGGGATAAGCGTGTTCAAAGTGAAGGAGAGTATTCTGAGGGGCAGTGTGCCTTTTACTGTAAACATTTTTTAAAAATGTAAGCGGTCACTCTCTAGTACGATCACAGCAATATCCTATATGTCTTCCTCTATGTGCACACGTATAAGGTTTACTTTATAAATTAGCCATAGTTAGAGATGAACAGTGCCTACTAAGAAAACAGAATTATAACAATATACTGTAATAAAAGTTTTGCGAATGGACTTCTCTTTCTCTCTTTGTCCCCATTCCAGGAAGAAAAGACACAAAAGGGGGCTGGCTCCCCGGGAGCTCTGCCCAGGAAGACTCTTTGAGCTGAGGATGAATGATGATTGGACCAGATCTTGCCAGATATTGGGCAGATGACAGGTCCCTGGGGGTCCAGGCTGACTGACGAGGCCCATAGTTTCCCTTGGGAGCCCTCTGAGTAAGCATCTGGCGCATGGTGCCCTCAGCTGCCTTAGTTCACGCAGCCTAAAGTGCCCTTCAGCATGGTTGGGCAGCCCCGCTCCTTCCTCAGCCCCAAGCTGCTTGCCCAGGAAGAGGTCAGCTCTGACAGCATCAGGCCCTGATGACACACAACACTCCAGGCCCACCCAGGACTCAGGCAATAACAGCCTCCTGGCTGTCTCTCTGGTCAGCTGTTGGGTGTCCAGAGCACCATGGGGCCACCATACCCAGCATCCACTCAGGCTGACAACTGGGGGTGGGGCAAGCACCTGGACAAACGGGTGAAAGGACACTGGTTAAATTCAAATAAATGATTCAGAACCATGCTTCCCCACCTGCAGCTCTGCAGCAGATGGAGCTGAACAGAGCTGTGCTTCCTTTAGGCATCAGGGATGAGAGAGGACAAGATGGGGGGATGGAGTAGAGCAGCTCCTGCCCCGGATGAGCAAGGCCACTGGGGTCTTGTCCCAGCTCCTGCCGGGCACTGCACAGAGACCCCCTGACTCCTTCATACAGGTGGTGCAGGCCCTCTGCCCACTCCTGCATGATCCTGGGCATCTGGCAAGGTGCAAGGAAGGAGCACCTGGGAAATGAGAAACCAGAACTTTGCAACACATAAAAATGAATTTAAAAATACAATTCACAGGGCCAGGGATTTAACTCAGCGGCACTGTGCCTGAGTCACAAGTGCAAGGTCCCAAGTTCAATCCCTGGTATCAGAAAAAAAAAAAAAAATTTACAACAAACCTCCAGAATGGGAAAAAGTACTTGCAAGTCATATATACAATGAGTCCAGGATTGGAAATATATTAAAAACTCTTACTGGGCATGGTGGTGCCACCTGTAATCCCAGCACTCTGGGAGGGTAAGGAAGGGGGATTGCATGCTAAAGCCCAGCCTGGGGAACTTAGCAAGACCCTATCTTAAAATAGAAAACAAAAAAAAAAGGCTGGGAACGTAGCCTGGTATGAAAGGCCTGGGTTCAATCCCCAGTACCCACCCCCTCAAATCCTCAAAACAAGAAAACAAAACAAAACACCGTTTACAACCTCACCCTGAAGACAAATCATCCAATCAAAAGAAAAGCAAAGGGCTGGAGTGGCATTTCTCCCGAGAGGACAGAGAAACAGCCAGTAAGCACAGAAGATGGTCAGCATTGTTAATCACCAGGGAAGTGCAAACCCAGACCATGAGATGCCACTTCAGAATCTCACGAGGATGGCTGCAATAATTTGTGTAAACAAAACAGGAAATCAGAAGTGTTGGCTGGCAAGGATGTGAGAAAGCAGAACCGTCGAGCACGGCTAGAAGTTGTGCAGATGGTGCAACAAGGGCAAAGGCATTTGGCAGTTCCTCAAAACATTAAAGCAGAAAATTTCTTAGAATTCTGTATTACAGTAGAATTACCTTACAACCTAGAGATTCCACTCTTAGATACCTACCAAAAAGAACTGAAAATTGGTACTCGAACAAATAACATGTACACGATTCTCCCTAGCTGCTCTATTCGCTATGGCTAAAAAAAAGCAGAAACAGGACCGGGGATTTAGCTCAGTGGTTCAGTGGCCTGCACAAGGACCCAAGTTCAATCCCCGGTACCAAAAAAAAAAA